CCTCCTCCCAGCAGCACGGGGCGGGGGGTGAATGGAGCTGTGTGCCCGGCAGGCACAGCCGTGTGACCAAAGACCAGTCAGTGAAAGAGGAGGGAATGTCCCTGTGGGGACTTCTGGGGAAGCTCCCTGGAAGGAGGACAGAGTTTGCAGGGACAGCTTCGCCCATGCCCTTCCTTCCTGCTTCCTGCCTTACATGACATGTGATGGCCCACGATCATCCTGCACCCAGAGGTGACCTTGAGGATGGAAGGCACCAACTAGAGTGGTGGGGCTGAAAGTGGAGAACGCCGGTCCCTGGGGACCAGGAAGGGCTCGCCGTGGGTCCTCACCCACACCTGTATGTGAAGGAAAGTAACCCTGGGTGTGTTCAGCTACTGCTATCGGGCCAGGCGCGAATCCTCACTGATAAAGAGGTTTTTAAGATACCACTTTGGTGTTGGTTTTTTTAATTAAAAAATATTTCACATGCACGAAAGCACTTGTAACTCCGACTAAGGATGACATGAACATCGTTTCACCAGCACCCCACCTGAAAGAAGTGGGCACTGCAGCTGGCCCCGTGCCCGCCGAGGCACCCTGCCTTCTCCCGCCTCACCCCGCCGGGGCGGGGGGGGCATCCTGGAGCCTGTTTCGCAGCCCCTCGCCTTTCATCTCATTATGCCACACACTTTTGTAACCCAAATTATACTGCCCTGCTCTGCCTGTTCGTAAACCGTGTATAAATCATGTCACACTGTGGTTTTCTGCAATTTTCTTCTCCCCTTAACATTATGAGCTAAATCCACGTTGATCACATAGCTCTGGTCCATTTAACCTCACAGCTTCCACTGTTTACTGCAGGACCACACCACTGGCCCCACTGACGGATCTGTGGGTCGTTCTGAGCTTTGCACTATTACAGAGCTGCCACAGACGCTCCTGTGACCCAGCAACAGTCGCCCCGACTTTCTGACACTGTGGTATTTTGAGAGAATGATGATGATGTTTACGTGGCACACTGGAGGGTGTGTCGAGTTCCGGTCACAGCTACAGAGGTGACCCACACTCAGGCCACCTGGAGGGATAAAGGGACCAGTCGGACGAAGCACATCTGTGCCCCACAGCATGGTGGCAGAGACCTGCTTGTAGAGTAAACGGAACACAGGGTGTGGGCATGTCACCGGTACCGACAAGGCCAAACTGCCTCCCAAAGGGATCAAAACAATCCGCACTCTCGCCATCACTGCATCAGCGTCCCCACTGCTCCTCATCCTCACCCAAGCTGATTACCGTTATCTTTATTTTTGTAAAAAAAAAATAGCTCTGGCTCAGCACTTAGAGCATGGGCCCTTGGACAGGAGGGTCTCGGGTTTGATTTCCAGTCAAGGGCACGTACCTGGGTTGCAGGTTTGAGCCCCAGCATGTCAGGTTTGTGCAAGAAGCAACCAATATTTCTCTCTCACATCAGTGTTTCTCTCTCTCTCTCTCTCTCTCTCTCGCTCTCTCTCTCTCTCTCTCTCTCTCTCTCTCTCTCTTCTCTCTCTCCCTCTCTCCACACTATCTAAAAAAATCAATGGAAAAAGATCCTTGGGTGAGGATTACAATAAGATTTTCTGTGGTCTTAATTTATAGCTTCCCTACTATTAACAAGATTGAGCATCTTTTGTTCATTATTTGAACAATGAAGAGATTCTGTCCATCAATCCCTTTGTGGTGTGAGCCTTTTTGTGTGTCTTTTTCCAGAAATTCTCCTCTATGCCATTATTGATTTCTAACTTACTGTTCCATAGTCAGAGAACATGTTCTATGACCTGATACTTTGAAAGATGTTGTCTTACTTTCTGATCTAGCACGAGGTTAATTTTTGTACATGCTCAAGGCTTATTTGAGAATAATGTGCATTTCCAATTGTTGGGTGGAGGGCTCTACAATAAATGTCCAATAGATGAGGGATGACAGACACCAGCTGGGAGGGATGGGTGGTAAATCCAGCCCTGACCATCTGTCTACATATTGTCCAGGGCTGCCTTCACCCCAAGAAGGCAGTTCAGTAGTAGAGACAGAGATCATAGGACCTCACAGAGCAGGAAGTATTTACTATCTGGCCCTCTGTGGAAGAAGTTTGCCCACCACGGCTGGGCCCCAGACTGTGTCCCTTTCCCTCTTTGTCTTTGCGATACCATTAACAAAAGCTGTTTTAAATCTTCAATGGCAATGACACTCTTGGCAATTTCTGTTCATCTTTGCTTTGTTACTTGATGTTGAGGCTAATTAGGTACAAACCGTTTTAAGTTGTTCCACTTTCCTGATGCATTATTTCCTCTATCATTAACGCAGGGACTAGGTCCCTTTTGTCCCTAGTCATTATTTTAGTTTTGAAATCTGTTTGGATGATATTGTTACATAACAGCTTCTTTTCATTAGCATTTCTTTTTCCATTCTTTTATGTCTTACATTTTGGGTGTGTGTCTCGTAAGTAAAATAGCATGCAGCTGGTCTGTTTTTCCATGGAATCTGACAATCTCTTTTAGTCAGGAAATGTGGTCCATTTATTACACACAGTGACAAATCTATTCAGTTTCATTTCTACCATCTTAGATTGTATGTTTTTGGGTTTTTTTAATATCATGTATGTTCTTTTTATACCATTTTTTTTATGTTCCCCCACCTCCTTCTTCCCTGCCTTCTTTCGGATTAGAATATTTAAACTCCATTTCTATTGATTTGAAGTTTTAGCTTTTTCATAATTTCCCCTAACAGTATAACATGAATTCTACATTTAATAAAGTAAAAAAGTTCACCAGTGTCTTTACTCTCCTCCAGAACAATGTAAGAATATCAGAACCATTAATGTCAGGGTTAGATCCCTTTACTAACTTCGCTGTTTATTTTTATTGTGTTTTTAATGGAGAAATACATCATCTGTTTTCAAAATAGCGCTTAAACAATACAGGTGCTACAAGACAAAGCAAACTCCAGTCAGAACACGCTACATACATCATAGGAGAAAAGAGTCTGATATTCAGGTAATGAAACTGGAACTAAAAAGGTCCAAGTTCCCAGTTTAATGAAGCAATGTGTAAACACAATGACAAGGCTAAACGTGTGTCTGGTGATTTCAACCTGACGCCATAGCTATGCACACACGCAGGCACGGTGCACACTTCCCGACTCGTGATGCAGCAGAAGGGCAGGGGACTGCACAGGGACGAGCTGGGGAACGGCCCACTGTGTACCAGACGTTGGAAAGCAATGCTCAAAAGAAAGTCTCAATTACTACACTGCCCAAAAGGAAAGAAATTATAGTCCAACTTTGGAAAAATTCATCTAGAAGGATAGAGAAAGGGTTTGAGAAATTGCAGTTCAACGTGGAAACCGCAGAGGTGGTAGAGAGGAACATAGGTAAGGTGCGGGAGGAATCAGAACTGGGCTCATTGGCAAGCCTGTTGGAGTGCTGTGTCCAGATTAAGAAAGATGGCTTTCATTCACCTGTCAGTTGTCATTCACGTTTCCTAAACATGAATGTTCTGCTTCTTAATTGTGAGCTTTTCTTTTTTTTAAAGAAATGTATTACTAATAGTTTGCAGGACAAAACAAAAGAGTAGAAAGCCAACTAGATGTCAAGTCCTTGCTAGAAATTTTTTCTAGATATAAAATTTACTAATAAATTTTAATAAGTCATGTAAAAACCAAAATTGCATAAAATTCTTGGAGAAAAGGTATTTCTGCTTACCTGTTTAAAATGGACATTGATTTTCTTATAAACAGGTATTCTGTGTAGAGATTAAACGGCACCTAAGACAGATAACATTTCACCTGCATTCTCAGTTGTTTTACTAAAATATTAGCCTTGGAATCAAAATTTTGTGCTTTGTACCATGTGGCCACAGGACTGTTGGTTTTATATCATGGTTAAGAAAATACTAGCATTCCGGGTTTTGAATGAAACATACAAGCATACTGTGTGCATACAAGCAAAGCAAAGAGGCGGAGAGACAAAAAGCTATCTTGTTTGAGGACAAATGATTAAGGACAAGATAACATGGAGCTGTGTTAGCTCCAAGACAATGTTTGCTGTCTGATCAGTGATCGCATGAGATATAAAACAATTCTACAGAAAGAAACAAGATATCATGTCCTGACCATATCCCCCCAAAACCAGAGTTACTCATTACTGTTCCAATGTCAAAAATATACCCTAAGAGTTGCCATTTCACTTTACAGGATTACAGATACCTCACAGGGACTATGCTAGATGTACTTGTACACTTTTTCTGAAGTACAGCACACCACTGCACAATGGTATCCAATTCGGAGATTAATAATGAAGAAAAGTCTTCAGGAACAAACTAAAATTCATCAAGCTGGAACATCTAAAATTAGTTTTCCTTTCTAATAATAATACACATAAAGTGTATCATCAATGTAAGGAAATATACCAGTTTATTTTGCAAATTTCCCCCAACAATGCATCAAACATAAATCCAGTCCAAGTGTCGGTCATGGGTACAAAGATAGCTGGAGGGTTTTTTCTCATTTTCTCTTTAAGGGAAGTAGTCCTTTGAAATAGTTAATATAACTGTTGCTGACACAATAATCTACACATTAATATCAGTACTTCTAGCTTCATGTACTAACCCAGACTTCTGATCAAGATTAGCCCAGCAAAGGAAGTTACCAAATAAGCCTAAATCTCTTCTGAGTCTTATCTAGTTTGGTACCCTTCATTCTCCTCCTTTAGCATTTGAAGACAACAGATCAAGTTGGCAGATAATATTTATGGAAGCTTGAGGTTGTTTTTATCAGTTCAATGTGTTTTATTGAATTCTTGATAACAGGAATAGGATTTGCAGGGAGAGCAAGGATATTGGACAGGTCTGTACTGAATATTTCCTGCCAGGTCAACAGAGAAGCTGCTGTCAGAATAGTTCCAGATCGAGTTGTACTGTCTCTTTACAAGATTGCTCCTCTTCTGTCTTGGCTTTCTTGGTCCTTTCATCTTTGTGAGGTGAGAATGTCCTCTAGACTCCTACTATAGGATTAGCTATGTTTGTGGCTGCACTCCCTGAAGGCCTGGGTGGATGGTTTACCAGAAGTGTTGAAGAAACAAGTCTAGTGATTGTGGGCTTTGGTGGCAGAGAAATGGCTGCTTGTGAGGCAGTCTGAGGAATGCTTTCACTCAATGCACCCCCTGAGTTCTCACTGGGATTCACTTGCTGCAAGGAAACTTCAGTCATCTGTACGTTTGTCGCAGATGCTGCCATTACAGCCAGAACAGGACTGTTTCTGCCCTGAGAGGAGTCAGTCACTGGGCCAGTCTCCATGGCACTCACAGGCGAAGGCACAGACATGCTGTTTTCACTGTCTGCAGACGAGTCGAGACTGCTGTCATTCAAAGCTGTCAATCTGACATCTTCCATGGAATGTGTTTTCTTTTTCTGAAGTACGTGATTAGGTAGTAGCTGATGAAGTTCCTTTTTTCTTAAATGCATCGCATCAATTTTCATATCCATCTCAAACATCTTACTATTTATTGCTTGCCTATAAACTGTATCTGTGAAAGACTGGATATCATATGTGAGATCAATACTGAGAACTTCAGAATTTTCTGGTTTTTTTAACACTAACCCAATCACCCACATTGTACAAAATTCTTCCTTGTCAGAATTTTCTTTGGGTGCTGGAAACGACTGAGGATTCACATGAGCCAGTGTAATAAATTCATTCTTCTCCAAGCTTCCAACCAAGATTCGGATTTTTGATTCCACCAAGCCCACCCATTCTAGGCGTTGTTTTTCTGTTGGTGCACTTGCCACAAGTACAATATAATGCTTGTACTTTTGAAAAAAGCTTGGAGCTTCAAAAAGTTTGGACCACTCTGCCTTACTCAGCCAAATCTCATGTGTGATAGCAAGTCCTTGTTTAAACTCCTCAATCATGACCATCCTTGTTGAAACAGACACATTGTATGTGGAGTTCTGCTGTGGGTATGCTGGTGTTATTATGGGCATAAGATGGTACCTATCACTCGGATTTACTCTTGGGTCCCATACAGGCAAATTAAGATTTTGTTCTTCAGGCTCTTTCAGTAGCACTGGATTTGGCCACTCCCATTCAGAAAACACCAAGAAAAATTTCCGGACGAGAGTCGATGCTACCGCATTTGGATAAAGCTGGCAAGTTCTTGCTACCAGCATGGCCCAGGAAACACCTCCTAGGAACCCTAATATGTTGGAATAGATATTGTGGCATTTAGCCCACAATTTGATAGCTCTGAGTGTTAACCTAAAGTTGTCAATGTTTGGGACTAGATGTAAGATTTCATCAGTTACCCGGCAACCGTTAAGGCTTCTTATGCATCTAATATCTAAATTTTTAAGCAGACTGTCATCTCTTAGGTCCAAATCTTCTGGAATAGTCTGCAGTGCTAATCTTGCAAACAAAATATCAATCTCTATGCCATCAAAACACATTCTGATAACTGGTACAAATGCCTCCTCAACAGCCCTTAAATCTTTTACTTCTTCGTGTAGTTTCAACTTATCATAGAAGGAGGTGAAAAAGTCACTCCGATCAACATGTCTTGGCGCAACGCACAGCGCATCTATGTCGGCACCTTTCGTGTGCACTCCCAATCGGTAAGAGCCGAATGTAAAGATTTTGCCTCCAACATTCTCAATTATAGCTGGTGGAAGGCTTTTTCTTTCACTGATTTCTCGTATCCATTCCTTTACCAGATTATTTAATTTTTCCAAAATTAAAATCCTGCGCTGCAGTTCCTCTTCCTCTTCCAAAACCCCAAAGGGCTTCAGGGTTTCAATTAATTTCTGGGTGAGTATGTGGTCTGTCTCCTTGGGGGCGGCTAAACTGATGGGGGAGGAGATGCCGTAGAGCTTGGGTGGCGGCTGCTGTGGTCCCGGGGTTGTCACTGGAAACGGCATCATCTCTAGCGCTGGCCCGGCCACGCCACGTTCCCCGCCACGGCGACCTCCGTGGCCGCTGCCCGGGTCATGATCCGCTGAGGCGGGAGGGGCGGGGCTCCCACCAGCCCAGGTCCTACCCGCTCCCGCTCCGCTCCCCCGCTTCAAGCGTCTCTCCGCGGTCCCCTGCGCCCCAACATGGCGCCCGGCCCCTCGGCAGGCGACGAGCCGTTCTAGAACTGCCGCGCACGCCAGGGCGCATGCGTGCTGCGCGGAGCCTACCGGGAGTTGTAGTTTCCAGGGGTCCGGGCGGCTGCGGCCGTCGGCCTGGGGCAGTGGGTGGGCGGGGCTGAGCCTCGGTTTTTTGCCTTTTCACAGTTTTCTGCGTTTTGCCTGACCTTCCGCCGACTTCCTCGCTCACCGTTTCTTCTCACGCTGCAGATCTGCCTCCTCTCCGGGGGCATGCTCGGTGGCCTTCCGGCTAAGGCCCGTCCTTTAGAAACCGGCCCCTCGTGTTGGCCAGCAGCAGCCCGGCTGGGTCCTCCGCGGTTGGCGCCCGAGTGAATGTCCCGCCAGGCCTGCAGCCCCGCTGCACAGCGGTTCGCCCGTGCTCGGAAGGGCCCAGCTGCTGTGTGCTCGCTTCCACAGTTCCTGCTGCGAGGGCTGCGGTCGGCTAACCTGCTGCTCGCCTGTCTTTTCTTTTTGGCAGCTGCAAAAACATTTTCTGTCCTTAGTGCCCTGTGTCAACGTTAAAGATAAAATGGCCAGTTATTTTACCAGCAAAAATGAATCCATTCGGGTCGACAAAGGAATTGCAATACTGGACACGCGAGCTTTGGCAGACCATAAGCAAGTGTGGAGTAACGGGAGACCTTGGAAAGAGCGAAAGGCCGGGTGGGCAGGGGCTGTTACAAACCCAGTGTCCACTGGGGAAACCAGGAGAGGACGCTGGAAGTGCAGTGGCTTCCCATTGGCTGAGTCGTGAGGGTGCCGGTTCTCATCAGCGGGGCCTGTTGCTGGGCTAGGAGAAAATCTTCCTTTCTGCAGCTGGGGCAGTAGAGTGCGATTCTTGCTGTCCAGACGTGTAAGGTCAGCTTCCTCCTGTCAAGTCCGCAGAATACCGAGTGGTAGTGCGGGAGTGCCCCCCCCCCCCACTCCATCTTAAATGCTGTTTCCTTTCTTTTCACACCTGCAATATCACCACTAGTTGTCAAGGGGTAAATTACTTTTTTTATTTTTTAATCTTACACAGAATAATGCTGTGATTCCTGAATTTCATGCTTTTCATTTTGTGACTTCTGTAAGAATCTCAGGCATATGCTTAGAATTGTTCTCCGCACCATTCTCACAATTCTCTTCATGTAGACGTATGATTGACCTTCTCATTCTGTTCGCCATGTCTCTTAACTTAGGTTTCTTGCAGGGTGACGGCAGGTCTACCTCTCAGCCCTCTAATTCTCTCTTCAGTTGTATTTGGCCTGCTGTTGAAGCCATCACTAAAATATCCATTTCAATACTTATATTTTTATTACTATAAGGATTATCTTTTCCAAATCTTCCCTGCCTTTTTTAGGTGACATTCTTACTTACCTATTTTCTTTCTATTTCTTATTTCTTTAAACATTTTACACACATTTATTTGCTCAATATTATATAATGGTCCTAATTACTGATGTTCTTGAGAATCTGATTCTGTACCTTGTTTTCTACTGGCTCGTTTAGAGTAGCATCACTTCATGTGTCTTGTAATTTTGGAGTATGAGCTCATCTCTGGCGAGGCTTGGAATGCCTGTGTGAAGGATGTATCCTTCCAAAGAGGATTTGCTTTGTTTCTATCAGATGTCCTTGTACACTATCAAATTATGTACACTGTAATTTAATTTCTCATCCAGGGATTATGCAGACCACATAAGTAGTGCAATTTTAAACCCCAAACACATGTGAGAGGAAGAGTGGTTTTCAATTCTAGGGAAGTCTTTCATTTTCCCCACCCAGAGCCCAGGTCAAGAAAGATAAGTCTTTGTCATCTCCTTTTACCAGGTAGCAGATTCTTCTTATTCCATCTTTTCATTCAATGTGCCACCCTTCAAGGGTTCCAACTATATTTGGGGACCTCAGTTCCATCCCTACCTCTTTAAGTCCAAGGCTCTATGTCTCTTTCTTGTGCAGCTATTAAACAACTTATTTTGGTTACAAAGACTAGAAAATGCATCCAGCGATGACCTCCCCTTGGTGTTTTCTGTGTTAAGCACTGACCATCTCCCTTCAGAGGCTCATTTATATACTATGGCCAGAAGTCTCCCAGGGAGGGTGGATGTAGTCAGCCAGGCCCCAGGTGGGCACCACCCACCTCAGGAGAACAGGCTTTTAAGCTTCCTGATACTTGTGTCTATGTGAAACTAAAGGCTATGATTTTTTTAAATCTAAGCAATGACTCAAAGGTTGAAGCCCTGGCCGGTTTTCTCAGTGGTTAGAGCGTCGGCCCACAGACCAGAGAGTCCTGGGTCCAGTTCCCACTGAGGGCATGTACCTCGGTTGCAGTTTTTACCCGGCCCCGATTGGAGTCATGTGGGTGGCAACCACTTGATGTGTCTCTCTCACATCGATGTTTCTCGCTCTCCCTCCCTCCCTCCCTCCCGCTCTATCTGAAGATAAATGAAAAACAAAAAACAAAAAAACGGCTATGAGCAACTAAAACATTCAACTTTATGTCCTTGTTGAGTTAAAAATCCTCAAAAATGTCGTTTAAAGTCAATTACTTTTCTAGTTTTAGACTGATGAAAAAAGTTGGGGGTTGTTTTGCTTTTTACCAAACCACATAAAATAAACATTCCCCCCAATGATTCTATCACTGAGCATATGCTGCAAGGACGTCCTCCTCAAGACTCAGGAGGCAGCTAGTTACTCTTAAATAAAGGAGAAAGCAACCAGATCGCCTCCCCATCCTCAGATAACAGTTATCAAAAATCAGATTCAGAGTGGAAGAAAAAAATGTCAAAAGAAATGACCACAGCAAGGCTGGGGACATGTGAAGACGGAATTTGCTGTACACCTTTAGCAGATGGAGCCTGAACATCTGTCTGTCTCCAGGGGTTCACGCCCCATAAGCCCATCTGTGGTTGAAAAGGTAGGAGGACAAACACACTCAAAGCCAGGTGCTCTGAGACGACACCTCTGCCACCACCAGCCACTCATCTGGGCTTGGAAGAGAGGGGAGCTGGCAGGTTGCACCGTCAGTGCCAGAGCGGCACATTTTGGTCGCTGAAGCCACAACTTGAACAGGCAGACAGACACGCCGCTGACATGCCACCCTCCCTCCTCCATGCCCCTGATCCTCTTCAAAGAGAAAGATCCCAGGTCTGGAGTCCTGGGTGCATAGGGAAGCCTAGAGGAGCTATTCTTCTACTGTGCGTCAGTCCTTCACCGGGCATTTAACGAGCACCTGCTGTATGCCAGACACCACACAGATGGCTGAAGGACAGCGGGTCACAGCCTTTCAGGGGCTGATGCAGAGAAATCCCTGGGACTGTGTGACCTGCAGAGAAAACCTCAAGTTGCAGCGGCTTTCGAAACGCTGTCAACTGGCGTTTACAAAGAGGACACCCGAAGCCGAGCAGGCCCTGCCTCCAGGAGCCGACCGGCACAATGCCTCTGAGGCCCAGGAAGGCCACACACAACGGCTCTCCAGGCACAAAATGAAGCGCCACACGTCACTCTTCGCAGGACACTGGGCTTTCACGGCAGCCTCAGAGGGGCTTCGGAGGAGCAGCGCGGCCTGACGGTCACAAGTGCCCATGGCCACTGGCCCAGAGGTGAGGCTCGAGCTGGGGGAGACTGAGCCCATGCAAATGGAGTCCAGGCCACTAGGTCCACACCTCCGCTGCCCAGTCCAGAGCAAGTTCGCCCCAGGGCACTGCCCACGTTATTGGTTGCCACAACTGGTAGGGGTGCAACTGGCGTCTAGGGGTAAAGGTGTGGGGGAGGCGCTGCTAAATATCCTACGCAGCCTGGGGCAGCCCCCGCAGCACAGGACTCTGGGCCCAAACTGTCGGTGGGGCTGAGGTTGAGAAATGCTGTCTAAATCCACTCTCCCAGCCTGGAAACACAGATAAACCCTTCTCTCGCCCTTCCTGAGCCGCTGACAAAAAACACATGGCCTGGCCAGCACCCTCCCCAAGGAGCTGATGGCCTTTATCTCAGTGACAGGACCCAGAGCCCCCTCCGCGCCCGGCCTGAGGAGCCGCCTGCGGGGAAAACGCGGCAGGGGCTCCGCAGCCCCACCTGCACCAGCCTTGTCTTTCTGGAACTGACACAGTATTTGATACTTCGGAAAGCAGGGGAGTGGCGGCTGTGAAAAGGCCGTATTTGAGGCAAACAAACGCCAGGCGCCTGACAACGGCCCACATGGTGAAGGGGACGGGCTGGATTCCGCTCAGTGCCCTGGCAGCGTCTGGCACACACTCAGCACTTGCGTCTCTGGGGAATCCCGGCTGCCCACGGGAGCGCCTGGCGCCTGGCGCCCACGCCCAGGCTCCTCAGACGTGTGTCGTGGGCTTTGGCTAAAGGCCAACTCTGAAACCAGTGAGCCAGGAGCCCCACTCACGATCAAGCAGAGTCCTTTACTGTGGGGACGTAACCAGAGTCATGAAAATTAGGAACTTGAAGCCTGGGAAGGCGTGTTTATTCACACACACGCGTGCATGCATGACAAGGCACACAGGCACACACAGGCGTCCCTTACTCTTCCGCCACCGTCTGCTCACTGGGGACACGACCGCAGCTGCTAGAAGCCAGCGGAGGCTGCTCCCGGGGCAGATGGGTGAGCCCGAGACCCTTTCCCTCCAACTGAACGCCCCATCACCGCCCCTGGACTGATACCCCCTCATTCCCCGCCTCCCTGGACTCACACCCCTTCATTCCTCGCCTCCACTTCACAGTGACTTTGGTTTTTGTTTCATTTTGGTTTTTCGTTTGATTTTTTATTGATTTGAGAGAGAGAAAGATCGATTTGTTATTCCACTTATCTATGCATTCATTGGTTGATTCCTGGTTCATTCCTGTATGTGCCCTGACCAGGGATCGAACCTGCAACCTTGGTGTATGGGGATGATGCTTTAACCCACTGAGCTACCTAGCCAGGGCCCACTTCACAGTGACTTTGCGTCTCCCCGTGATTCCCACTGTTGGTGAGGATGGCAGCGGGGGACCCTGGGCCATTTCTCTGCCACTGAGCAGGTCTCAGAAAGGGGGTGTGGATCCCGGCTCAGCTCCCTCAAGCCCGGACTCCTGAGAGATGGTGAGAAGCCCTCACAATGTGGTCAAGGGTTGCACAATGGCCACCTGCCAATCCACAGAAGCTGCAGCACATTCTCTGCACAGGGAGCCGGTCAGAGTACGCATGCCATGTGTGCACGCATGTGTGTGTGCACAGTGCTGTGTCCGCAGATCCATGCATCACAGGAATAACCAAATGAAGACGCAAACTCGAAGATCTGGACTGACGCCAAGCTTTGGAGCAGGGCTCTGAGCCATGTCGGTCTGTCCCAGGCCATCTGTCCTCAGCAGGCCCGTCCATGTTTCTCACGACAGAAGCAGTGGGCCTGTCACCAGCAAGGGGGTGGCAAGGTCAGGAGGCACAGATGCCTCAGACCACACCCCAAGTAGAGGACCAGCAAGGAAGGCCACCTCCCTGCAGCCTGGGACCTGCTCTGGGCAGGTAACACAACCCGATTCCCGCCAGAGAAGTGTGTCACTGAGACCAGGCCAGCTCAATAGATTCTTTCTTTGAAAGGTTTTGCAAAAGTGCCACCAAGTTGCATAGGCTGTGAGCAACTGGCCTTCTCTCACCCCAACTGCTGTAAATGCAACAAGTCTAAGCTGGGCTGGGGAGCAGAGACCAGTCCCACTTCCCACAGGAGCTGTCTAGCCCGCAGGGTCCCTCCAGGAATAAGCTGTGCGACACAGCGAGCTTTCCAAGGCCTTACCCAGGGACCCAGGGCCCAGTGACCTTCAGATAGGCAGGGCTGGGCACCAGCCCACGTGCTCTTTGCAGCAGAGAAAACCCCGGGCAGGACAGGGGCCTCGAGCAGAACACTGGCCCCTCACCAAACCATGCAGGTTGGCCTCGTGGTACGTCTTCCAGAATGAGGGAGGTCAAGGCGGCACGCCCCACACATGATGTTGGGCCTGTGGGGTGCAGGAGTCAGGGGGGCTGGTCTGAGGAGACTTAAACAAACAAAGACATCCTACACATTGACCTGCTTTTTACTCCCCGGTGCGCCGGGAACTGTAGCACATCAATGCTAAAATCCTGCTCCCGGTCAGAGGCCTCCCACCCCGTCCTGGGCACCCACTGCCTGAGAAGCACAGCACCCTGCCCCCATGCACGGCAAGTGCTCATAGTGCTACCAGCACCACAAGGCGGGCACTTCTCAAGTATGCTGAATGCTATACGCACATTACTTCACAAACCCGATCTCCAGGTCAGGAAACTGAGGCCCAAAGAAGCAAAGCAATTTGCCTAAGGCAACAGAGGGCCGCTGCAGCTGTGGCCTGAGGGACACCAGCCCCTGCAGTCCTCTGCCATGCACACCACCGTCTCCAGACACCAAACTGCAAGGTGGGCTCCACATCCGCCTCCGAGGAGAAACGAGGAAAGAGCGTTCACAACACTCGGGACACGCACAGCTCAGCCACGTGCACGACTCGTCTGGCTCCGAGGCCCCTTTCTGCCCTGGAGCATCACAAAATTGAGGGACAGGTCTCCTAAGGCCACTTAATGTCTTTCCCTTGATTGGTTGCCTCCTGCACAACCTGACCAGTGTACGTGCCCTTGACCAGAATCAAACCCGCGACTCTTAGGTCTGCAGGCCAACACTCTAACTGCTGAGCCAAACCAGCCAGGGTGAAAAAGTTATGTTTTGTTTCACTTACCTCTTAAGATAATCCACCAAGTGAACAATGGCCAGACACAGAGCAGTGGCCACAGGCCGTGGAGCCCTCCCGCCCCAGGGCCGGGGCTCAGGCTGCTGCCGCTGCCTACGAACCTCAGATGGACAGTGACCAGCTGCTTCTAGGCTGGGCCCCCCCTGCCCAGCCCCCGCAGACCTGGCACACCCGACGCACCCCACAGCCCGTCATCTTCTCAGTGGGTTGCTGCTGAGAGTCACCAGGGCCTCGGGCACGAGACTGCCTGAGACACGCCTACACTGCACGGGACACGGCATCTCTGCAGCTAACGGCGGGACAGCCAGAGACGGGACAAGGACCCTTCCACCCTGGAGGAGCCTGCCTACGATACCGCCCGCCTGCACTGCAGCCAGACACGCCGGCAGGTCCTGCGGTACAGACGAGCTCGTCTCCAGACGGCCACCCCGAAATCCTCAAACACGCAACAGAGCCCCGACCATCCTCCGTCAGCGCAAACACATCTCGGCCCCCACGGCCCGCTCCTTTGCCTCTCCGCCTGCCCCTGCCCAGCCCCTGCCCCCGGAGTCGCCCCCGAGCTGCTCACCAGCCGTCACGGTGTCAATGTCCTTGGCGGCCAACTCCTCCACGTCTGACCTCTTTCTCAGCTCAAACCTCCGGGACAAGCCTTCTCGGGGTTTCCATAATTCCTGAATCAAGAGGGGCTTCTCGTTGTCCCCGAACACCCGAAAGCATTCAGCCTGCCACGGCCGCCCGGAGTCACCGGCCTGGCCCACCACGTCGCACAGCACGTACTGGCTGGCGCTCTCGGGGTGCAGGGAGTAGCGCTCCAGGGCCTCCTTCACCAGCTCCTGGGCACTGGACCTGCCGGTGGCCAGGACGCTCTTGTAGTGGGTGCCCGTGCAGACGCTGTCCCCAAACACCTTCAGCACCCCAGGGGCTGAGAGCTGGGTGGAGAGCTCCGCGGGGTCATCGCTGGCGCCCAGGTTGGCAAAGGTGGTGTCCAGGTCCCGGTACTTGTAGCTCAGCGTCCGGGACAGCACACTGGACAGCAGCTGGTTCTGTCGCTTCAGCTTGCTCTTGGTGGGTGGAGACATGATGAAGTGGGTCCCATAGAACATGGTGGGCCTGTCTTCATGGGTGAGGACTTCGGGCTCAGCCAGCGGTGGGGAAACGGCGTGTCCTGGGAGAAGACACAGTGGGTCAGCACCGACCGGCAGCAGCGGCAGAACCAAACAAGGCTCATGTGAATTGTAACAGACTTACCAACCATCCAGGCCCACTACCCCAACACAGCAGGAGACATGTCACCCTCAGCCAAGTCCCCAACCACCCCAAGGGATAACGCAAGTGTGGATGGGCTGAAGTGCCCTTCAGGGAAAGCCACGACCAGGAAGCACAATGCCGTCTCCAAAAGGAAGACACGCTCTGCAGTGTGGTTCCAACATCTGGCACGCACTGGGCTCACGCACTCTGCGGAGGCAGCCAGGAATATCGTGGCCGTGGCCTGCACATGCGGGCAGCCCGCGCCCAGCACATCACACTCAAGGAGAAGTGGTAAACAGTGCAGAGTGCGGAATGCCCGCTCTCCCTAAACCCACGCTCTCTGCACCGCAGCCTGTGACAGGCGCATCGCAGACATGAGGGGGACTAGGACAGCAGGCGATGACCGGTCCTGGCTTGGAGGGCCACGTCCCTGGGACGGCAGCACTACAATGTCCATACGACCGCAGTGGACACAAAAGGGCTCCGCCAGAAGCGGGGGAGGCATGACTGGAATGTGTGTGTTCCACCCACCACGTCCAGTCGGGCATTCGGGCCCTGTCCAGGCCGCAGATGCTGTCTTGGTGGGGAAATCGGGACACAGCTCCCGGAAGCTTTGGGGTGTCGTGCGATCATCATGCTAGTGCACTCAGTGCTCCGAGGGCCTCAGCTGCGGAGGTTTTCAGTGTATGGGCTCCCCGAGCCGCCGGAGCAGGAGGCCTGGTGAGGGCGCCCTCTCTGCGGCATAGACAGGAGAGCTCTACACCAGGTCGGAGGCCGCAGACCGTACACACCGCCTGCCCGAGGCACCGCTTCTGCCTCCCTGTCCTCACCGGAGACGAGAACAGGTAGACCAGAGAGGAAAAGCTCATTTTCCTGAAGCCTCTGGAAACACCTACCACTGTGACCGATGTCAGCACTAAACTCGGCTGAAGTCCACACCCTGTGCCCACTCACTCATGGCTCCACGGGCAGTGGGAAGGGCTTCGGGGTGGGGGGATGCTCCCCCGTTCCAACAGCCTGCTGCTCTCACTGCGAACCGGCTTTCTGAAGACTCGGCTGAGAGAGCAGCATCCTCAGCGGGAGAACACGAGACTGTCTCTGGCCTCCAGTGAGTGAGGCTGTAATGGGGCTAAGTGTGTCGAAGGCTTGCTTTCTCCTCCCCTGAGGAATGTGTGACGAGTCCCCTGTCAAATCCTGGGGAGCCCCACGCCGGCAATGGCCTCCACCGGCGCTGTCAAAGGCCTCGACTTCGTGTCCCGCAGGGCGTTTCGCGTGTGCCGGGTGCAGGGCTGTGCACACCGCCTCTCAGCTCCAACTGCCTCCTGAGAGGCACGAGCCCGCCCCACGCCCAGCACGCGCCTCCCGGACGCCTCGCTGAGGACCTGCCCCCCACGAGCACTCCCCTTCCCGGGCCTCCTCCTTCAAGCAGAGCCCCAGGGTCACAACCCAGACCCAAGTGGCAAGCTTGTGGCTCAGAAGCCTCTGTCTTTCGAGATGGTGTCTGAATGTAAATTTAAATATGGTCATGAAAACTGCGGAAACCGTGTGAGCAGAAGGGTCTCGTGTCACAGAAGAGCCGTGAAGTAAACACAGGAGCTTCAGAGCCCCCGACGCAATGGGGACGGGAGCTGCTATTTTGCGCCGGGGTAGATCTTGGTGCTGTAACGTCTGAAGCTAATACAGTTCTGCTTTAATAAAAAAGAAACCAATTACAGACACCCCGCTGCCAGTCCACTGCCAGGGCCTTGGGAGGGAGCGCCCTCCCTCCTCTTCAGCAGTGCCCAGTGCCGGGCTCTGAGGCACAGTCAGCCGTGTCAGGAAACGGGGCAGAAACCGTCGGGGACAACGTGGTTCGTACCTCTTCGGTAATTCCTTAAGCCCCAAGAAGTCCCAGTAAACACGGACCTGACCTGTTGTATCAGGAAGCATTATTCCGTCGTGGTGATTCTCTCTGTGGCCATTTTCAGAGAGTAACCATGGACAGTCACTTACTTGTTCACTTGTCACCTTCCTTCCCAGTCACTGAATGCAGAGAGTGAGGCCTGTCTGTCCCAATGGGATGGACTCATTTTGAGGAAAGACAAGAGCGCAGGAATATCCTACGGAGTGGGGCACGCCCGAGTAACCAGATCGGGTTCGGGGAGGGACGACCTGCCTTTTCCTTTTTCTGCTCGGTTCTCTCGTCTTTCACACTAATACTTGGGGGAACTCGGGCCCGGGCGTGGAGGACACTGGCCATTGCTTCACTGAGAGAATGTTTTTGTCTCCTTCTCAGGGAAGAGTCCAAGTTCTGATGAAAACAAGCTCGAGTCACAGCAGCGGGTGCAGGGAGCGAGGTCAGTGCAAGGCTGACGAAATGGGTGGAGGACATGGCCCGTCCAGCTCCGCAATGTGGAATCCATTAGACTTTCCACCAGGATGGGACAGGAAGAGGGTAGGTTTGCTGGCTCTGCTTTATCCCCCACTGTCCATAAATCCTGTCTCGACAGCTCCAGCCAGAGCGATGCTTTTAAATACAAAATATTTTAATCAGATTTAATTCTGACAGGCTGGCCTCTTGAGAGGGGACTGACTTTTTCCCCCCGGTGGGATTAAGGGCTGGTTCCTCGGTGGAATGCACAAGAGGTAGCCCGTGCTAACCGGTGACACCTGTAATCACCGGGGACTTGGAAAATTCTTTTCGGCCATTCAGATTAACCAAACACTTGACAGAGGGCTGGGGCCTGAGCCTGCGGGTCTGCAGCTCTGCCCGCCCGCCAAGCGGCTCCGAAGGGAAATAAGACGGTTCCTTCGGTGGGGCCCCGGAGCTCCAGCTCGGCATCTGTTTTCTCAGATGCAGTATTTGTCGAGGGGTGGAAACCGTACAGAAATATCCGGAGACAGTGCTTTCGGCCGGCCCACGAGTGGGAAACGTGCTGCCGTGTGAACAGGAAAACCAGGACGGGCGGGGTGGGGGGATGTCACGCAGACCTTGGAGGGAGGGTGTGGACCCCTGCGCCCTGCTCCCCCGAGGCACCGGCTGCCGAACTCCCCTAAGGCCCGGGGGTCCTCTGGGTTGGAGGGCCGAGGTCCAGGGGCCGCAGGGGGCAGCGGCCGCAGCCGACCCCCTGGGACCGGAAGGCAGGACCGCCCTCGCCCGAGTGGCCAGCCCGCAGGTCCCGACCCCCAAGGCCGCAATGGGCCCCGAGAGCCAGCCGGTTTCCATGGCAACAAGACAAGCCCTGCCTGGGAGGCCCGGGAGATGCCCCGTGAGGGCCCTGCTGCCCGAGCGCGCGTCCAGCGGCCTCCCCGCTCGGCCTCTGCCCCACGAAGCCCCGGCCGCCGCAGAGCGCCCCGTGCCCTCTGCCTCTCCTCGCGCACCCCGCACTCACCTCCAGCCCTGCCCGCCGCTGCCGCCACCTCCACGTTCCCGCGTGGCTCCAACACCCGCTGTTAGCCTGAGCCCCGAGCGCGACCTGCCCGCTGCGCCTCCTGCCGGCGATCAACGGACGGGGCGGGGCCTCGAGGGGGTGGGCCCCGGGGCGGGGCCTCGAGGGGCGGGGCCAGCTGCGAGAAGACCAGGGCTGGCTCCTCCTGCAGGTCACCCATTGGACAGGGCCTAAACCTCGAGGGGGCGGGGCCTCAAGGGGAAGGGTGGAGCCGGTGGCAGGTTGGGCTGGACGCCGGCGCCACTTGACGGCCAATTAACCGTGTGGGCGTGGCCTCGAAGGCAGGGTCGGGGTCTCCAGGACGGGGGCAGGGCTGTTTTCAGAGAGGTGGGGCTTTGCCGTACACCCCCTTCTACAGGTCAAGGGGCGGGGCCTCGGCCCGGGGGGCGGGGTCAGGGCTAAATTCGGGTGCCAAGTGCAATCCTCAGGCTCTAGGGGATAAGTGGACTGTGTTTGTCCCCGCCCGTTAGTCCCACAGTGGACGGGGTCCGATAAAGAAGGGAGCAGGCTAAGGCAAGCACTTACCAGAAGCGGTGGCCTGATAAATGAACATCCAAGACACGGAAAGGGGAAGAGAGTAGCTGGTTGTCTCCCCTACAATCTGTCCCTCACCCAGCAGCCAGAGTTTTAAATGACAAATCAGATCATGGCACTCTTCGGCTCAAAACGATGCACAACCGGGCCAGGTCAGCTCCAGGGCTCTGGCTCAACCACCCTCCTTGGGTGACCGTGTTTTAAAAGAAATTCGTGCCCTTAGAGCTCACTTTGGCACCAGCCCTCCGGCTGGGGTTTCGCCTTGGAGAAAGGCTTCTCACAGACAGGCCCCTGTGTACCACGATGCTCAGGGTCTAGGCCTGGGGCCATCACCTGGCCTCAGATACAAAGATGCAGAATTCTGACCCTGGAAGTGAACCTTTGGGTTGGCAGCTGTTGCAGTATGAACCCCATACTTGCTAAGGGGAAATGGGGAGAGGGAACAGACATGTATTGATCACCTACTGTATGCCAGACCCTATGCTAGGGGCTTTACCTAGATCATCTCATTTACAGCTTACATTAACCCTTGTGAGACAAATATTGTTACTCCCACTTTACAGATGAGTAAATGGAGGCTCCGAGAGGTCAGACAGCTAGAGACAGAGTCAAGAATTGAGCTTGGGACTGTATGATTAAATAATCCCCTTTATAGGACTCCCCACATACTCACAGGAACTTTTACAAGGCTCCCCATATCCATACACAATCTCCCCTCACCCAGACCCTGAAGAGGCAATTATCTGGGCCAGAAGGAGAGCCTGGGTTTAGGCCTGTGTTTTCCTCGTAAGGAATTTCTCACCGTGATCTGGGCCCACCAGCCATCCCTCCCCACACTTCTCTTCAACAGGGGTTGGTAAACTATGGCCCGTGGGCCAAACCTGAGCTGCTCTTTTTATAAATAAAGTTTTA